ATATATATAATATATATATATATATATATATATATTCCTGTTTTCTTCTAGTTTTATTTAATAGAAATAGTTATTCAACTCGCTTATGTTGCTCTTTATTTACGTAGCTATCTATATCTGTCTTTGTAGAGGACCATAAAGAAAAAATCTTTTCTTTTTACTATTAGACAAAAGGTCTTTTTAAATGAACAATTTTTAACTAACATAAATATTAATATAAAAATATATATTTATGTTTATATTTATTTATTAAATAAGTTTCTTAGTTAGGAAACTTTTCCCTTTTCTGCTGTCGGCGGTGCGATGGTCGGCTCACCTGCCGGCCCTTTTCTCAGTTATAAAATTTGTTACTAGGAGAAAAAAGGAAATAATTCAACAAAATAAATGTTAAATGATTTAAATAAAGGGGAAAAGAAGAGAATTCGTCGCATTTCAAGTGCATATACAGCGCAGTAAGCCATCGGTCTATCCTTTGACTATCTGCAGCTCGGCTACATGATGACGGTAAGCCTACATAACAAAAAAAAATAAAGTAAAATAAATTAACATAAATAACAATTTTAAAAGTAATTAAAATAAATATTTAATTATTGCTATGTTCTTCTTTTTTCCCTCTTTAGCTTATACAAGTTCCCCCGCCATTCAACTTGTCGCATACATGAATAACGGGGTGTACAGACAGCTGCTGCGACAGACCAAGGAGGAAGGAGAGGAAGACCATCATTTTATTTATATGGGGAATAAATAAAATAATTGAATTAGTTGTGTTTATCTTATACTAATTTATATTTTATAGATCGTATATTCTTTAATGTTAGCAGCCAAGCAATGGCAAAAGAACGAACCATCATAATGTGCTGATCTTTTTTTTCTTTCTGTGTATTTCTTCTAGTATGCACAAATGTGTAATTTCTTGTGTTTTTCTTCATTTTTTTTGTTTTTCTTCTTAATAATTTCTTTTTTTTCTATTCCTTCCTTCTGTAAATCGGAAGGAAGCTGCTCTAGTACCTCTAAAAGTAGTAGTAGATCTTCTTCCTCACATTTATGCCGACTAACCCCTTTAGGTTATTATAAAGGTAAACCTACTTATGACCCTTATGAAACTCTTGGTGTTTCTTCTTCTGCTTCCTTAAAGAATATACAAAAAGCATACAGACGTAAGGCTCGTGTCTGTCATCCTGACGTTCTTCGTGCAACTTGTGACGATCCTTCGGCTGGTGGTTTACGTACTAAGCCTGAAGAAAAAGCAGCAGGAGAAGCAGCAGGAGCAGAAGCAGGAAAAGCAGCAGGAAAAGAAACAGGAGCAAAAGCAGGAAAAGAATCAGGAGCAAAAGCAGGAAAAGAATCAGGAGGAGCAGCAGGAAAAGAATCCGGAGCAGGAGCAGGAAAAGAATCCGGAGCAGGAGCAGGAAAAGCAGCAGGAAAAGAATCAGGAGCAGGAGCAGCAGGAGCAGCAGGAGCAGGAGGAGGAGAGAAGGGTAATGAGGAGGAGCCCTTTATAATAATAAATGCTGCTTATGAATTATTAAGCAAAGAAGAAGAAAGAAAACAATTTGATCTAAAAGGAGAAGGAGATGGAGGAAGATTCGTAAAAAGAGGATTTATATCTCCTTTTTCTTCTTTTTCTTCTTCTTTTTCCTCTTATAATAAAAAAAATAAGGAAACAACTCTATTAGATATTCTTTCCCTATTTACTGATGGTGGTGTCTTCTCTTCTCCCTTCTCTAATAGAGGAGAAGAAGAAGAAGAAGAAGGAGAAGAAGGAGAAGAAGGAGAAGGAGAAGAAGGAGGAGGAGGAGGAGGAAGAAGAAGAAGAAAAGGATATTATTATAGGAGTAATATAGATCCATTTAATGACGAAGAAGAAGAAGGAGAAGAAGAAGAAGGAGGAGAAGAAGAAGGAGGAGAAGAAGAAGAAGAAGATGATGAATTTAATTCATCATTTAATTTTTTTCCTTCTTTTAATATTTATGATGAAGATAAAGTCTATACAAGAAGAACAGAAGAAATAAATATACAAGAAGAAGAGGAAAGAGGAGAAGAAAGAGGAGAAGGAGGAAGAGGAGAGGAAGGAGAAGAAGAGGAGGAGGAGGAGGAAGAAGAAGAAGAAGTAGATCCTTTTTCTTTTGATTTAAATTCTCTAGATCTAGACGATTTGTTCTAATTATTATTTTTTGTTTTTTTTTCTTCTTTCTTTTCTCTCTCTTGTTTCTTTCCTTTCTTGTCTTTTTCTTTTCTTCCTTTTCTTTTTTTTTTCTCTTTTCTTTCTTTCCTTTCTTTGCTCTTATTGATGTTCTTGTCGAGTTTATAGACAAGAACAGACGTATAAGAGGGGACACGGTCCCCCTCTCTTCCTATATAAACAAATAATATATATATGCCCCTCTAACTTGTGTGTCAATAGTTTTAATGCCCCTCTCCTTTCTGCTCCTTTCGAGGGTTTAGGGTTTAGGGTTTAGGGTTTATAGGGTTTAGTCTTTATGGTTTAGTCTTAAGGTTTAAGGTTTAGGGTTTAGGGTTTAAGGTTAAAACTATGCATGCAGCCCCAAAAGGGGGGTTTTAATTTTAGGGTTTAGGGTTTAGGGTTTAGGGTTTGGGGGGTGTATGCTTATTTGCCTTATATTATCTGTACCATCAATGTTCCTATAGTAAAAGGGCAACAAAAAGGGGGAAAAAAATTAAATATATTCAATAAAAAATGTTCAATTAAATAAATAATTAAATAAAATATATTTATTTAATTATTTAAATTAAATAAAAAAGAACAAATTTCCTCTGTAGTTCGAATTCTTACATAAAGAAACAAGAAAAAGAAAATACAACAAGAATATATAAATATATAAATATACATATATATATATATATA